AAGATGAAAATGCACCGGTATGTCGCGCCAAGCGAGTCCACGTGTGTATTGCAGACAGCAGCAGGAGGGGGAGGGGGGAGGAGGAAACGGACCGTCGCCGCCGCCGCAGGCCTGCATACACACACGCGCACACGGGACAAGCAAAAACAACTGCGGGGGGGACAGACAATTTAGTGGGCAGGGGATTTTGGAGAAAATGCAGATGACAGAGGCGGGTGTGTTGAACTAAATAGCGCCAAAGGGCATCCGCCAGGTGAATGAATTGGCCAATAAACGTGCAGCATGACTGTCCAAAATACTGGCGGACGTTTAAATGTTTCCATGGAGTTTAGTTAGTAATGTCAAAAGCTGCTCATCCAACAGCCAGCAGCTTAGCACCTCAGCCGACTACCAATTCCCCCTAACGCTGATCAGATTTTGACACCCATTCCGCCTCCCCCCATTCCCCTGCCCTGACAACCGTTCTATTTTTTCTACCAACCCGCATAGTTTATTTACCGAATTACCAAATTAATGTAAAGGCCTGATGAGAATTATCGAAAACAAACGTATGTTCGCAAATTCATCTTCTGAATTTTTCAATGGGAATTTTCGAAAATTGAATCTATTATTATAGAATTTTTTTCGTCCAGGCAGAGCGGGACGGATGAGTTCCGTTAGCAGTCGGATGAACGTTCATTAATGACTGTCAATATCCTTTGACCTAACCCGGCAAGACAACGACCTCGTGGCTCGATGGTTGGGGCGTTTGACTGTGATCAAAGAGGTCGCAAGTTCGAGGCTCGGGTGGGACGCCACCTGGGTCTGGGTATGACTGGCCGACGACGGCTAATAAGCCAGAAATGGCAATTCCAGTCTCCCTTGTCCTTGGCCCGGGAATACTATCTGCCTACACTACCAGCTACTACAGCTGTCAGGACCTCTGTCGAGATTCCAGGCAGAGAGGGACAGATGAGTTCCGTTGTCGGTCGGGTGGACGTTCATGCGTAAATGTATTCCTTCTTAAAAGGATGCAATTCTAAAACTGCTATTAATAGTAAAACCGCAATCACATTTTCTGCAGCTTGACTTTCCATCGATTTTCCCCTCGTTTTTTTTCTCGTGCACTGGGAGATAAGTAGTGAAGTACACAGACTTCTAGCCACCATTTTTAAAATAAGTAAAAAGCGATCTATAGTAAGATGATAGTATATAAAATTTCTGAAAAACGTTGAAACACCTGCTAGTCTATTGGACGTTCATTGGCCTGTTGTTTGGGATAATCACTCGCTGGCTAGACGGGTATAGGATGGTTTTCGCGCAGTAAATGTTTGCGTATGCCGAGGGGCCTACCTTTTGCCAGCGTGCCGAACGGACTCCGCATTGGAAGCCGCCACGTCGCAAAAGTACGGCAGCACAGAGCGGCGGGTTATTTTACAAACTGGATGGAGGGCGATAGTTGCCAGAGGCCGGACTCATAGTCAGTGGGACAGTCGTAAGTATTTCAGACTAAACGATTTCAAGGCAATGAATTAGCCTAGGTCGGTTTGTCCGGAAGTTCGAACAAGCCAGGTTAAAAAAAAATAGGCCAGAAAGTATTGTGTTTCGAAAGAGAGCAATATCTGTGGAATAGATCTAACCCATCCGCTAAAAATGAGGTCAGCTTACTTATCTGCGCAATTTACCTGGCGACTGCGAAATTTGAAACCAGGCAGATTTCGGGCACTTTTTCCATTTTCTTTATTCAACGTCCCTATCCCTCTACCTCCCCCCTCCTCCTTCTGCAATAGTGAGGTTGTGCTACCGAATAGATATAGTAAGGATGACAGTGTGCCCGAATTGACGCAGCTCGACCAGTTTTCTCCAGCCTTCGAAACTGCCTAGGAACCCGACGCGATATTTCTAGCTCCACAAAGTTCCGCCTGTACCGTTTATCTGTACGGTCTGTTCTGCTAGATGGATGCGAATGCTGGGCTATACGCGTAGAAAATGAACGCAAACTAGAAGTCTTTGACCACTACTGCTTGAGGACCATCCTTTGAGTGAAGTGCACCGATTTCGTCTCAAATGAGACAGTACGCACTCGCTGCGACAACATCGCAAGCCTATCCCAGGCAATCCAAGAAATACGATTGAGGTGGTTTGGACAGGTTCCTTGCCATCAACCTGACGAGCTTAGTTTTATTGCCCTCGACTCGAAATCATTACCTAACTGGAAACGTCGACGTGGGGGTCAGCTCAAAACCTGGCTCGACTCAGTCCGTCAGGACATGGAAGTGG